TTCAAAACATGCGGAGGATCATTTGGGGTCCTTGTGGCACGTAGTACACCAAGTCTCTGTATTCGGTCCTTCAAAAAGTGTGATTGGTTCTGCACAAAGCCTTTATCACTATAATCAAATCATATGTGCTAGTGTCTAGGCTACCGGTTCCTAGGAACTAATATGCTTGGCCCTCATTCGTCGAATTCGATACTATATATATATATATATATATATATATATATATATATATATAGCCTTGGATGGCAACTGGTCTACCGCAACGAGAAAAAATATCTGCCTCGTCAGTACAGACATGTATCAAAAGATACATGATCGCCTAAACATATATCATTCATGGCACATGACTAACTGATTTAGGGGAGGTACTCGGTGTAAATTTATTTTATCTTTAGTAGATAAAACATTCTCAACCATTATTATTAAATTTTGGCTATTATTCATTTTCATCTTAATTTTTTAAATGAATTACTGTCAAGCATTTTTCTCTAGTATTTAATTTTTATCTTAAATAACGAATAAAATAAAAAAGCTAATAAATTAAGAAGAAAGTAAACTAGTAGACAAAATTTAAGAATAAATGTCTTATACGCATATGAAAATATTTTTTTAATATCTTGAAAAGAAATTTAAGTAATACTCTTAAAATAAATTGACAAATACCTTACAAAATCTTTAAAATTTTCGCTCGTGTTTTATGAGAAAACAATCAGAAGACCTACTTATAAAATGTGGTTTGGAGTAGCAATTGAATATTGATTAGAAATAATTTACCGAGAGTACCCAACATTTTTAGTCTTGATCACGGCAAGCAACTGAATTTATTACTACGCGATTCTCTGTAGCGCGATCTCGGGCTCAAAGCAAATATTGTTCTATATTAAAAACAAATGTTTTTTTTTACTTTCCAAATCAGCAATATCTCATGTATGGGTCGATCTTTGGCTTTGGTCTGAGTAAGTGTAACTTCACTTTTCCGTTTATTCCAAAAAATTAGTTTTATGATCTATGAAACATTACAGGAAGCTTCCACTAAAAATACTTGTTAGAACGATAAAAAGAGATTCTAATAAAATAATTTATGCTAAAATATGACAACAATTCGTGCTCTGAAATAGCTTCATCAAATCAAGGCCATCATAAGGATGTCATACATGACATCCAACTCGTTCAGAAACTATCAGCTATGCACAACTGTTTTCTCAGATCAATGATTAAAAATGGTCAATGAAAGCTCGATGTCATGAAAAGCACTGTCCTTCATCAAATATTATAGGTTGGCGCTACAGAATCACAAAGAGCTTTACCAAATGTCAAAAACCGTATAACTTGAACACTTCTAACATCATCAACAATGATTGCACATGTAATTGCGACACCTTCTGGGGCTGATCCTTGGTCACGGTCCCCAACAATGTGGTACCTTCGGCCGCCTTCAGTCCCGGGACCCATAACGTAAGACCTTCTGGGTTCTAAAGTCTTTGGTCGGATCCAAATACGTAGCGCCCACGCTCTCGGGTTCATCTAGGATGTATGATGCCGTAGTAAGTTACAGAAGTAACCTCTTCAATCCCAACCTTTTTCTCATCCGACGTTGTGAATTTTTAATCATAGAACGGTCAGGTCCGGTTGCTGTCGGAATCTTTGATACCATGTCGATCCGTTAGGGTGACGGTGTACATCAATAAAAATGAAACAAAAGGTGGCGCACAGATAATAGGTAACAAAGTTCACTTTTATATCTGTTCTTTGGTTTACAACAGTTATTGTTCGAACCCGCCTTAAATGAATGGACACTTGAGCAAGTTCTTAGAGCTGGATTATGAAATTCTATTTTCAGTATGAAGTTCGTTCTGTTTCGGCGTTACTGTAATTCTGCTTTTCGGCGTTATCTGAGTTCTGTTTTTCGCTGTTAACTTGTTCTGTATTTCGGTGTTAACTTTGAGATGCTTTTTGGATTAACTTTGTTGATACAAGAGTGAAGATTACTTCTTGGTCTTAGCGTAGTTTTTCGTCAAAGTCGGAGTACTTTGCAGGAATCACGAGAGGGGTCTTAGCGAGCTGGTCGGTCTTCAATACAGACTCTGGAACAGTCTGTGAGACGAACTCCAAAGCGAACTGTCTTCTCGGCGTGCGTTTGTTTATATGGGCTCTTGCTCCACACCGATGTGAGGCAGAACGTCGGTTGGGATCTCGATGAGCCCCCTAAATCCAACAAAGATCCACTGTTTAAATTTGCTTACGCATGCAATTTTTGATACGACCTCATCTTTCGCGGGGTATGGTTACAGGATATCGATCCGCCATATTCCTTCTCTCATCTATCGGGATTTTATACTAATACCTTTTGAAGGGCGTTAATAAATTCTCCACCTTTCCTGTTGTCTTAGCTGCGCCCGCCACTATGGCTACCACCCGGTCAATGGTTTCTCGGTCGCCTTGACTCGACTCAATTTACTTCATCAGTTAGAAGACCTTATCTCCTTGACGTTTTGCTTAAGTAGGGGTTTCGATTGTCCTAATTAAGAATTAAATCTATCATTCGGAAATTTACCTACTTAAGTCTTTTTCTCACCTTGTTAAAATTCTGGTATTTAATACATGGTCCTTCTTTATCGGCCGTTCCCTGAATTCTATACTTGTTTACGAAAAATCTCTGTTGCCCATTTCTGGACGACAGGTCGTATCTTTGTTGATCTTGGCCATTCCATATTCTGAATCAACACTTTTTAACGCACGTCATACATCAATGCCAAATTGGCATTTTACAATTTCAACATATCTGAGAATATCATTCTCCATTTCTATTTCTCGTCCGCCTGCTTTCTATTATATTTCGATAGTCAGCATTTTTAATGACCATCATTCATCATTTGTCATGATTGCCTTTTTGTAAAATTACAGTTTACGCACTTCCTCATTTTATAAACATAAGAGTCTATTGTTCTCAGCTTCGGATCCTCTGGTCATTTTCCTGGCTGAGCCAGCTTATCTCGATTATCTTCAGCGAATTTCGTAATTAATCACTTTCACACTTACCACATTGCTTTATCGTAACATTATCCTTTCCGCAATTCTCATTCTCTGAGTATCTAAATTTCTTCTTAAAATTAAAATCTTTAATTTTCTTCAATTTGGCTGATCAGTCTATCCTTCATTATATCTTTTAACCCTTCTGCTCCAGCGTTAAACATCTCCAACGTTAATTAGTGTTACATCACTATAGAAGAGAAACTAATGACATAATGAAGATGTTGACTTTCCACACTACCTTAAACAAAAGAATTTAAATGAAATTCCCATTAATAATGGAAATAGTGATAACAGGGGACTTGAGAAGCTTATTTTCCTGGAAAAACTTTTTAAGAGAAAGATTTTTTATAAATTACGACCAGCAGTAACCGGACAGATCAATAAATTCCCAAACTTTTCTAGATTCCCATTCACGTATTTACGTATGTTAATTAGGCTATAAAATAAGACCTATTTCTATAGACTGGTTCCCATTAAAAACTAGGAATATTTTTCGAGGAATAACTTTGGAAATTAGCTTTCATAAGACCTTTCTCAAGCTATGTCTTTTGTCAGAATCGAAAAATATTGACATTTTTATCGATTTAGAATCGATATTCTGTTCATAATTTTTAGTGGGCCATATGTCCTTTAAAATACATGGCCCATTTGAAATTATGAATAGAAAAGTGGATAAAGACATTGTTTAGATCCAGTGACTAGACCTAAAGAGTTCAATACCAGGCCACAGTAGTGGTGAACCAAAAAAACATGGAGAGTTGAGTTAAAAGAAAATAATTGAGACATCCGGAAGAGGCACGGTACGTGGAACTAGAATGATCTACCCTTGTGGACGACATAAACGGTTCGGTTTGAAATTCGAATCAGCTCAATAAGGCCGGAGCGTACAACAGCCGAACGTTGTGAATATGACAATGAAGATGAGGATAACAGTCCGAATAATGTAAGTAATCATAATACCTCATCCCAGAGATATAGACAGATCATAATTTCTGTTTACTGTATATATATTAAAAACAGGACTCCCTTTCAAAAACGATGAAAAGAAACAATATTTCTCGGTTTTGTAAAATGTCGCGCGTCCAGAAAGTTCTATGGGATGCTAATCTGCAAAAATTATTTACAAAGAATGTTTTCCCTAGTTTTACTAGTGAAACATTCTATTTCAGTAGTTCCAAAATGATTATAAATCAACATTTTAATATATAAAAATGATTTTAAAAAAGGGATTACATAATACACTTTCAGTCACCTAAGAAAGAAACTTCGATTTTAATTTGACCTGAATGCTACTGATACAAAAAGACGTCTATCATTTCAGCAAAATATTTCATTTTCACAAATGTATTAAACTGAGCAGAATATGAACATTATTCTATTGTAATATGAAAGTATTTTGATCGAAAAATAATTTTAAAATATTTTGATATTGAAATGTTAGCGTTTGGAAACAAATCTGTATACAGGCATCCTTCTTTCTCTTTCTAATATAAAAAGACTTACTCAGGCAAGTGAGTATACAGGAGCTCCAATGATATTCTCAAAACACATGAAAACGGAAAACTCACATGTATGCGTGCATCTCCTACAAGTATAGAAATATCATATGTCCCGATATCAAAAAACACCCTGACAATTTAAACTTGGAAAATTTTGTAAAAGATAAACATAGAATTAAATAAAATAGAAATGAAAGTTATAGAATGCAATTTGGATTTTCGATAGTTATTTTGAGGAAAAATAGCGCCATCGAATTCAATATTAATGTTTTATTATATAAATGTAGACGTCGGTGAATACACGTGGTTATAAAAACGTTTTAGCGATATTTTTCGGTGTTCCAACTTTGTAAAATAAAAAGAAAAACATGCTACACGACGGGAACATATGCCTTGTTTTATGGGGGAGGGATTTAGATAAGAATTTGGCTATAAATGATAAGGAAATAAAAATTAAAAAGAATGTTATCAAGAAAGAAAGAATAAAATAAGTAATGTAAAGAAAGAAAGAAACGTGTCAATAAAAAATGAGACAGATTGAAAAAACAGAAAGAAAGAAAAGCAGCAAGAAAACTGAACAAATTGAAAAACAGAAAAATGAAGGAAAAAAAACGAAACAGAAAAGCAACAAAAAAAGAAACAGTTTGAAAAAAGGGAAAAAGAAAATAGAAAGAAATTCATGAAAAAGAAAAAAAACGAAACAGATTAAAAACAAAAACAAAAGAAATGCAGCAGCAAAAAAGAAAGAGATTGAAAATAGCAAGAACATAAAGAAAGAAAGAAAGAAAGAAAGAAAAAAAAAGAAAGAAAGAATAATGAAAAAAAGCAAAGGAACGAAATAGATTTGAAATTTTAAAACGTTATAAACAGATTAAAAACAGATAAGAAAGAAACAAAGAAAAAATTATCAGCAAAAAAAAAAGATTGAAAAAAGATGAAAAAAAGAAACAAAGATAAAAGAAAGAAAGAAAGAAAGAAAGAAAGAAAGAAGTACGTTATTCTCTTCAAATTCCAATGTTTGTTGATGAAAGAAACCTATTTCATTGCGGAATTGGTGTTGTGTTGATGATCCCCTCCGAAAAGATTTGTCAGTATTGCTTGTTCAAGAATGAACTCTTCGAATAATTTCCACCCAACTGATTTATTCACTTCTGGTGTGCCAGAAAGTGTCCAACTTAACCTAATTCTTTCTATTGCTTCCCAAACTGTCAGTTATACTTTTTCGATGCGTTCGTGAACATCCTACAGAAAAAGCTGAATTTACCTTACAATATGTCAAGACGTCAAGTTTATTTCTTATATTTACGTCTTATACAAACAAACCCGCTCTGATTACTGTGCTAAGAAGACTGCCTGTCAAAAATTTGGAACGCAAAATTGATAAAACGTCGGTTCTGTTTAACTAAGTAAAAATAAATTTCAACATTAATTTTATTCAGTTATTTTACTATTTTATTTTATTTCATTTTATTTTTTTAGCTTTTACTATTATTCAAAAATATTCTTAATTTTATCCTCCAGAAATGTTAATATTTCTCAACAAAGAACTGCTGTAAGTAACTTTTGCGACCTTTCAATAAATTGTTTTTGTATTTTTATTTTCATGATGTAGAAATTTCTATGTAGTCATGGACACGTGGCCAAATGTTCGCTTTCTGACCATGAGACGCAGATTCGAATCTCAACAGGCGATCCCAACGTGAGGCACCTTAGAAAAGTGTTGGAAAACCATACCTATGTGAGCCTTGGGAAATTCAGTAGACGGAATCCTTGGGAGCCGTCAGTGGTTTGTGGACGCTGAACATGTGGAAGCACTGAATTTAAAATTTTAAAATTTATGAGTTTTATTTTAATTTAGCAGACGTGTCTGGGGTCACAGCGAAGCCGATCTCGTTCATTTTCCCAACGCCGTTGTATTTGTTTTTTTATCCATTTAGTTTTTAAGTCTCGCGCATTGTGGTAACGAAATCTGCCAAGAAATGTGAAATGCTTTAAGAACCTTGATACAAATTTACCGTAGATGTTTTGGTAATCAGTCCACGTTATATACATTTCTGTCTGAGTAAATTGCTTTCTCTTTTAATTAAAGTAGCTTTTTTAAATCAAAATTATAGTAGGATTCATTAAGGTGTACGACCAATACAGTTAGTGTGTTGCTTTGTAAAATATGTCTTTTGTGTTCATACACTGGTTGGCTGAATAGTTCATAGGCTGACCAAAGTACTTCGATGGAATATGACGAAATGAGGTTTATTTTTCCACACATTTCTTCCATCGTCCTTGAAGCGCTTAGGTCCCATTGGTGCAGAGGTTTTCATCCTGTTGGTCAAAGTCGTCAACAGTAGATATGACGTTATCATCTCTGCGGTACTGGTTTCAAGAAAAGTTGGGTTTTTTTTTTCATGTTGGGGAACAGATGATGGTCAGGTGAGGTGAAATCAGCAAAAATTGGAGGGTGATCAAGCAGTTCAAATCCACAGTCACGCACGGCTGCCATTGAAATGAAGGACTTGTGGTGTACTGGAGTATTGTCCAGATGAAATGAGACCTCTTTCATCAGTTTTCCTGGCCATTTTCTCTTGATAGCCTTTCGTAACTGCCTCAGCAAGTGAGCATAGTACTCTCCATTGATGGAGTGGCTCTTTTGAAGACAGTCAATAAACATAATACCATTTACAGTCTCAAATCTGAGGTCATCACCTTCCCTGCAAATGAAATAAACTTGGCCTTCTTTGGGTCAGGTGAATTTTGTACTGTATGGATTTTCTCTTTGTCTCTAGCTCAAAATGATGAGCTTAACACTCATTCTGAATTAGGAAACGTTCAAGGAAATCAGCTGGATCTGCCTCAAACAATGTCATATTTTCCATTTATGTGATCATCTTGGTGCTCTTTTGAACATGTGTCAGATGTGACACCCATCAAGCAGAAACTCTCGTTCATTGTGTAGAATGTTCTCGACTCTAGCATTGGCTATTTGAGTTATGGTCAATCGCATCTCATTCATCAATATGTGGTAAACAAAATCTATGTTTTCCTCGGTGGAGGCAGTTGTAGGATGTCCAGATCTTGAGTCATCACCAAGACCCCCTCTTCTTCTCCGACATTCAGTTGTCCACATTTGATAAAGTCGGAGCGTGACCCCCTAATGTAGCAACCATGTCAGCATGAATGTCACTGGGCACTAAACACTTTTTCTTCAGGTACTTGGTAGTAATACGATACCAAATTTAATTGCAAGAGAAGTCATTACTAGTTACTTTTTAAGTCTTCTTTAAACTGTCAGATATCAATTTACCTGAAAAGAAACAATGTCGTTATTAATAAGAAGAGTTAACATTAATGCATGCAAGATTTCACAGCTCTAGCATCGCTCCTTTACAGTCAGCCTGTTAGCTTTTCAGCCTGCCTTCGTGCAATCATTTTTTTAATTTCTCGAAGTCTCCCCTATATATTACTTGTGGCAGTTATAGAGTAAATTTCTGCTCCAGATTTTAGATTGTTATTTTGCTTTGTATTAATTGAGTCTGTTACGGTTATTGATGTAGTTGTAACAAACTTTATGTTAAGCTTATTTGTGATAGAGTTTGTTAGGTAGTGTAATGTATCTCGATTCATACGGATTTTTGTATCGCTGATACTTTTGCTTAATATGAATATGATTAACATATTGAAGGAGCTTGAAAGTGTATTCAGTGCATTTCTACTCATTCCGTAAATATTGAGGGCCAGATATTCTAAGTGCTCTTAAACAGAATCGGATAAGTATTTCGGAATTTATTTTATTGTTTTGGTGAAAATAGAAAGTTACTAAAACGTACCAATAATGACCAAGAACTAAATTAAGTAATTAATAAACAAACTAACAACAAAAGCAACACAAGTAAATTTAATAATAACAATCAACAAACAATAATCAATTTAAATAAATAAACGGTAAATTCTGTCTGTCCGTGTGCTTGAAACCCATTAACTCGGGTCACACTTGATCTACATAGAGGTATTATACCTTTTTGGGGTTAGGATGATCCAGGAATTGAAAATCTTCCCTTCATCTGGGGTTTGAACATCCAGCATTGGATTTGTGTTCAGATGGGTAGGTTCTAGTTAAAAATTAAAATTTTAAAATAACTGAAAAACTATTGATTTTAAAAGTTTTTTTTTAATTTATATTGAGTTTAAAGTAACGCAAAAACTTTGTTAGTTTATAAATTTTTGTTTTAAATTCAGCTTAAAAACTTTGTGAATTGAGGAAATAATTTTTATTTCTTCAAAATGCCAAGGAATCAAAGATCAAGTGAGAGGATTAGTGACGGGAGATTTTGAATTTCCATTGAATTTCTGATTTGAAAAAATCAATTTTAGGCCTGAATTGTAATTTTGGCCCAAAATGAACTTTCGGCCCAAGCCGGTCTTTTGGTCGGAATTAGACTCATAACCTGAATCCGAGTTAAAGTGAGGTTTTGAAGTTTCATTGAGTGAATTGAAGAATTCAAAATTATTTCTTCAAAATTATCATTGCTGTTTTCTAAGCTCGTAATAAATAATGATTAATAAAATAATGAAAACACTATAAAATAGCCACAAAACTGCACTCGTAGCCAGAATTATTCTCACACAATAGCCCCTAGAATAATTTGACACCATAACCGTTAGCGCCCACCCACTGTTATAATGATACAGTAGACCTACCCATAACACACCACTGACCAGCATATAACACAGCAGACATAGCCTGACGATAGCAATTAAACATGAAACAGGCTGCCGCTGGTGAGTATTGACCTGTATGTCCACTTTGAGAGTGAAAGCGAGAGCGAGATAGAAAACGATATGAACAAAGTGGAGCAGATAGATAGATAGATAGATAGATATAAATTTTAGAAATGAAATAAATATCTAAGCATCTACCTTAAAAGATGGGACTTAAAGAATCTTTCATTGAAAAGGAACAAGCACTTTCGTCAGTGTAAAACCCAAGACAGACAATATCTGATTTGCTAAATCAATAGAGAAGTAAAAAATATAATTTCCGTTTTAGATACCTTATTGTAATTACGAATATATCGTCTTAACTACTAATCATACGTAGTGATTAGGAATAAATTTGTAGTACACTAAGTGACGACAATGTCCAACGTAAAAGATAATCGCCTAACAGAATTTCGAACATTAAAAAAGTGTTATTTAATCTTTCAAATAAAACTCGATTTATAAAATATTCTATGATTTGCAAATGTGTAAACAATAGTCAAGGTTTGTGGGATCTGAATCAGTTAGAACTCGCTACTTTCCGACCTTCAATGTAGCCATTCGACATCTTTACAGATAAATTAAGGCACTGCACTTTGAACCAAAGGGAAATCTGTTGCTCTCTGGAGTTGACCAAATGTTACATATATCAAAACACCAGTCATTTTTGCTCATTCTTCCACCCCTTTGTAAAACCCCAGCTTATCTCATAATTACGCTGTGGCTTAGTGCCAATGCTTTTTTTTTCCTGCCGCCGACAATAATCAACACGAACGAACCTGCTGGCTCAAAGTCAACCGGCAAGAGCAAAATTAAGGAAGCTTTTGTGCAACATTCGAAAGGCCATTAGTCGACGGACAACACGATGGTAATTATATGATTACTGTTAATCACATACTTCATGGCTGCTCCGACATACGCTCGTCTTTCAATCAACCTTATGAAGAAAACATGCGGAATCAATAAATTCAGACTTGTTTGGCTCTTTAGCCCTCAATGATGAAACTAACACAGGAATTTACGACGCCATTACGAAGACAATTAACACCATCAGCATCCGGACATAGTCGCTTTTCCAAAGTCAGCGGCCCAGACTCCTTTTTCCCACATTTCTCTTAAGGTGATCCAGTGTATCTCATGTATAGCATGATGATTTAGCATTGACCCTCCTTCTAGAAAAGTTTTACACTTACATCTCTGTCCAACATATGCCATTTTCATTTCCAAAAACACAGGTGAAACAGCTTCGATCACTAACTGCATGCAGATATTGATTTGTAGAACATGTGTATCGTAGATTTTACAAGTTTGTTGTACAGATACAAGGAACGTTATTAGACAAAGATATAATTGAGCCTAAATTTTCCTTTATATTTTCAGATGATTTGATGTTTGTTTAAGAAAGAAATAGGCTTACGGTCGTATCACGTTGTAACATCGGTTCTCGTACGGTCACTGAAGTTAAGCAACATTGAGCTTGACCACTAACTAGATGAGTGACCGCTGTAAGCCTGGATATGTGGGTGGTATGATGGATAACGTCATGAAAAATCGGAAAGCCAACTACCTACACCAGTCGGATTCGTTATATTCACTTACGTGCAAATATCCTTGGAAAATGTATGAATGCACTTCTTCCAACCCCCTACTATGGGTTAATTAGTAAGACTTGTACTAGTAAATCCTTATTATCTCCAAAAAGTTATTAATATCTAAAAATATTTTCTGGATTTAAATAAACTGCAAATGGTTGATAAACCGTAAAAAACCAAATCAATAAAGAAGGAAATAAATTGTCATACAAATTGTGTTGTACATATTAATGGCAGAAATGTAAAATATGTTGCACAATGATAAACTGAAAGAAGTGCAATAAACACGTTTCTGCAAACAAAATATCCACTCTCGTTATATTAGTAGTAAATAAGCTAATCGTGTATGAAAAAGATTGAAACAACAGGTTACATATTAAAAAAAACGTCTAATGACTGATGCAAGTTAAGTCACTGCTATGTAACCAGAGGCTGGAAAATCTGCCCGAATTGTTTGTCGAATTGAATATTTTAAGAAAAATTTTAAAATGCCGAAAAGGAAAGATGCGAAAGTTCTTAAATCAGTTTGAATACATAAATGAAATAAAACCAGTTAGTGGACCACTATGTTGAATTCTGACTATAAGCACAGATAGGTTCCAAAAGAGTCTTTTACTGAAATGGTTGCTGCCTGGACAAGAATATATTTTTCGATTTTCTGATTGGTTAGAAATACTTATTTGATTTTTGATTAGTTAGAAAAAATGACTAACAAAATTCAAATATTTTTGTGGGACCTTGTGAGATGGCAGATGAAAGATTGTTGGCTATTATGACGTACTCATGACGTACCCATAGCATTTCAATTTTCTGGTTTTTTGTCTGATGGTGTCTCGCACTGCGCCGAATATAATCAATAATAAACACTGTAGGTAGACAAGAATAAATAATATACTTTATTCTGATAAATACATTGTTACTCAAACAGGCTGCCATCAACACGGAGAGAAATTTTGAATTTTACTCGACTGTGTTGATTAAGTCAAGTTTGATTTATAATACGACAAAAAATCAGGTACAATAATTTATTTTAAAACAGTTTTAAAATCTTAAATTTATGTCTACGGCCTAAGCCTTTGAAAGTCTATAATAGTAAGCGTAAGAAATCACCTTCAACATAGGCGTGCTTAACCCCGCTCAGCCAAGAAACACTTCACAGCAAAGAATAATTGAAGCTTGTGAAGTCTTTTGTGGCTGAGCGGTCGCTCGAAGGTGCTTTAATGAAAGGAAGACGCAGGTTCAAATCTTGCTGAAAGGCACTTTTTCTTAATAAATACACTCGAATGTTCAGGCAGATAAATGTCATTTAAACTCTTTAAAGAATGGGGAATGTATACTCAAACAGTTGTATCGTTTAAATATAACGTTTATAAAATTACCATATATATATATATATATATATATATATATATATATATATGAAAGACGAAGCACACCAAAGGAAAACTTTTTTTTCATTTTGTCACTCATTTGTTCCTCAGTATATATATATATATATAAGTGAACAATGAAGTCAACACTCAAAGGCGATAGGCTGTTTCATGCTAGACGCAATCGTCAGGCCGATTTTTATTGGTTTTTATTGCTTTGCTTGGGGTGAAATAAGTAAATATATATATATTTGTATATATGTGCTTTTGGATTTGAAGGTCTGATGAATTGGGACCTTTTTTAAAGACCTTAACGAAATAAATATAATCTCATGAAATTTTAAGTGTTCGTGCCTCTTATAATAATAATAATAATAATAATAATAATAATAATGATAATATATATATATATATATATATATATATATATATATATATATATATATATATATGTACTGCCATTTTTTGAATGGGATCTTCACTGTACAGTAGTTTCCGGAGGAGCCCCTCGATGCTATGATGAAATGTAAAGTTACGGTTGTATTAATTAATGTACGCACGACTTGTGACTGTGACTGTTTTCCTACCAAGTCTTCCACCGTTTCAAAATCAAAATATATCTAATTTTCATGTCACGTGTTCTGACCTGCAATATTCCTTGGCTTCACCAACCCTGACCATTGAAACTGGGACCCATCATATCACGTACACAAGGAGGAATCATTCTCATTCCCTTTGTATCTCATTAATAAGAAATAAGTTCAGATAGGGCAGCCTCTTCCTAAGAGTTGCTGCTTTGTGGAACAGACTCCCGGCAGGACGTTTTCCTGATTACTACAATCTTTACCTCTTCATATCTAGGGTTAACAGTTGTCTTTCCTACTGTTATATAGAAATAAAGTGTCGCTGCCGACACTTGAGTTTGAACATAGATCGCCAATCTGCAAACACGGGCGATCCCATTATTGAATTAAGTAGACCAAGTAATCATAGAGGAAACGCATGAGTATAAAGTAGCGTAACGTCTAAACGATCACTATTTCTAGTCTATCCTTTATACTATACGGATCGTTATTTCTATTCTATCCTCTCTTACTATATTCTCTACTCTATTCACTATACTATTGTGACGTCCCGCGGCCGCCTCTCTCTGCACCCCGCCATGCTATCCTGTGACGACCAATGTGACTTGGTATTGGTCGCGGCACCAAATGTGACGTTCTAACCGTTGGCTGATTCGGATGGGAATCTGGTTAGATTCGGTATCAGCTTTGTCATTCCCAGCTCGCCTCCAACGTCTGGTTACCGAAGTAACTGCTTTGATTTCTAGTCTAACCTACCCACGTTGTGATTTGATCTTAGGTAGACGAAATCAATCAGTCGCCGGGCCGCAATGCAAGCCGAGTCCGAGCAAAGGTAACGCCGCACAAGTATATGTAAAAGAAAATAAAGTAACAACTCGAAAAGTTCAAATGTGTTAAAAAAAATAACAAATATTTTTATATCTGGTTGCTGAATACAGGACTGCATCTTTCTCCCAAACCGCTAATATGGATTCGTGACACTTTGTGTTTGTTAGGCGAGTCTTAACATCTTAAGTTGTTTTTTCAAGAAACTGGGGTTTTTTTTTTTGTATCTTCAGGCGATATTCGTAAAACTTGTTTTAGTGGTGTGAGTCTAAGTCGTTCTTCAAAAATAAATTGGTTAGAAGTTGAAGTCGGGATGCGTGGATCTTCAGTCAGCTTCCTGCGAGGCGGTCTCAGAGCTCACAGTTCACTCTGTCTGCGTCTGCGTCTCTCTCTGCAACTGCAACTGCTTCTCTAACTTACTCGCTGCGACTCTGCTTATATGGACGCCGACCAAAACCGGGTGTGGCCTTGTCGTTGTTTTGGGTTCCTCGACAAGTCTAAATCCACAATAAGGATTTTCTTTGTTTTCGGACAGAAAAATTTATTACTTTCCATTTTTGGAAGTCCATTACTTTCTGCTTTAAGGGAACCGTCCTCCCAAATTCTTCCTTTCTCATATTGGCATCTTACACCAATCCCCTCAGAGGGCGTCAACAGGTTTCCCTTCTTTCTCATAGTGGTATCTCACACCATTCCCCTCAGAGGCGTCAACAGGCCTCCCTCTCTTTTACATGTTTACCATTATCGCTCAAAGGAAAAAAAAAACTATCTTCTTTTTTTTTTC